GTTTGCTACAGTTCAGCATGTTTAGATCTAATCTTTTAATGCTGTTCTACATAAACTGTCCTTATTAAATAAAAGTGTCAGACTTTGCTGTTTATCGAACCCACCAGTGTGAAAGTCTCGTGAAAGCTGCAGTTCAGGCGTAAAACAAATGAATATGTAATTTTATTTGTATGAATGTTTGTCTTCATTTTTAGTTTCACTCGTTAAATCAAACTGCAGTGTTTATTTGACCTTTGACCTTTTCCTCCTCAGTCACACTGTCAGTGGAGGCAGCCTCCAGGCAAAGAGATTTACAGGAGGAGCAACATATCTGTGTACGAGGTGGACGGGAGAGACCACAAGGTGAGCCCGGCTGAACACCGAGCTGCTAACGTGGGTTGGTGTTCCTGCTGCTGACTGTCGCTCTCTGTCTGCAGATCTACTGTCAGAATCTGTGTCTACTAGCCAAATTATTTCTGGACCACAAGACGCTTTATTTTGATGTGGAGCCCTTCATCTTCTACATCCTCACTGAGGTCAACAAACAGGGAGCGCACATCGTCGGCTACTTCTCCAAAGTAAGTCCTCAGCGCGCGGCTCAAAGGTCGTTTCCTCGTATTCATTTCAGACTGATCGTTACGACTTCTGTGGTTTTATTTTTCAGGAGAAAGAGTCTCCAGACGGGAATAACGTGGCCTGTATTCTCACGCTGCCGCCTTACCAGCGCAGAGGCTACGGGAAGTTCCTGATAGCTTTCAGTAAGTGACAGTGAATGAATGATGAGGGAGCGTCCTGGAATACCAGAGCCTGGAGTTTGTAATCAGAGCTTTTTAAAGATGTTTGCAGAAAATTTTCAGGCGAAACAGGATTTCAAATGTTAAGTTGGGAGTTTCAGATGGACTCGAGATGACACAAATAAGTTGTTTCACATTTATAATAAAACCGAAAGGAAGTCAGTAAATCTGCAACTCCTGACCTCCACCAAAGGGCTGATGTGATTGGTTCAGCTTTCACATGGATGAATGAATGAATGAATGTCTGTACATCAGACTGAGAAAAGATAAATTAGGAGTCACTGTTTAGAATAGAATAGAATAGAATAGAATTCAACTTTATTGTCGTTGCACATGCACAGGTACAGGGCAACGAAATGCAGTTTGCATCCATCCAGAAGTGCTTTAGTGATATAGATATATTACAATATATATTAGCAATAATATAGATATGTGAGTATATTACAGAAATGGGTCTATTATGGTATGTTATAATGTACACGGTATGAAGTATGTTGTGAATATTCTATAACTATAAGTATGTACAGGCTGTAGTGAGTACAAGCTATGTACAGGCTATGAACAGGATATAAATATGAAAAACTATACAGAATATGAAATAAATACTTTACAGAATCTGAGATATACAGCTATACAGAAATGGGAACTGTGCAAGTTGTAAACAGTTGTAGGATTAAAAGATTATCGAATGTACAGAATGATTATTACACAGAGCTATACAGTAGTGCAGTTAAGATAAGTGAGATGTGTGATAATTCTACAGAGGCTATATAAAGTGCTAGTGTGTGAGTGTGTGTGTGTGTGTGTGTGTGTGTGTGTGTGTGTTCGTTCAGTCCATGAGTTTAACGTGGGTCAGTTTCAATCTCACAATGGTATCACAAGCTGATCCAGGTGTCCTCCAGCCTGGTAACTTTCCAAGCTGTGTTTGTTTGGCATATCTGAATTTCTATAAAATATCAGATTTTTGAGTTAAATTATCAGATTTTTGTCTCCTGTAGAGATATGCTTTGTGGATTGAGGCCCCAAGAGATCAAACACACTCCAACTTAAGAAAACACGAGCAAATAGAAAAACCCTGCAAAAGCACACAAAACACAACAGATGTTGAGTAAAATGCAGTGGAGCTGGGAATAGTGCAGCAGATGGATGGCAGGGGTGTAGTCATGACACCAACAGAGCGAGTGACTGAAGGAGAGACGCTCGCTGGCAGCAGCTCTGATATCGTCCGTTTCTGCTGCAGGCTATGAGCTGTCTAAGCTGGAGAACACAGTGGGGTCTCCGGAGAAGCCGCTCTCTGATCTGGGGAAGCTTAGCTACCGAAGTTACTGGTCCTGGGTCCTGCTGGAGATCCTGAGGGACTTCAGAGGAACGCTGTCCATCAAAGACCTCAGGTAGACACGCAGACACGTGCAAAGCTGGACGATTCGGCTTTTCCACTTGTTTTGTAGACGCTGTGAAGGTTAAGAACCGAAACGATTGTTTGGCAGCTCAGAGATGCACTCTGTGCGAAAGCTCTGCTGTTTTCATTTTTACAGCAGACAAACTTTTATAAGTTTACGTGTTGATGTGAAACTTGGTACTCGACGAGTTTCTGATCAGAACTTTTAAAAACAAAACCTGGAATTAAAAAACAAACTCGCAGCCGTCTCTGATTTTAACCTTCGTGTCCGTCTGCGTCTCCCAGCCAGATGACCAGCATCACACAGAGTGACATCATCAGCACGCTGCAGTCGCTCAACATGGTGAAGTACTGGAAAGGTCAGCACGTCATCTGTGTGACGCCCAAACTGGTGGAGGAGCACCTGAAGAGCGCCCAGTACAAGAAACCACCAATCACAGGTACCTGCACAGATGTTCCAAAAATCTTCTCACTTTACTACAAACATGGCGTCAGGCTCTCAGATCTCGAGGATTCTCGTGTCGGCTTTTTACCCCGCAGCTGATTTGCTAACGTCAGGTGTGATTGTGTCTCTCTTGTCTCGCTCTCAGTGGACACGATGTGTTTAAAGTGGGCGCCTCCAAAAAACAAACAGGCCAAGCTGTCCAAGAAGTGAGGAACGGAGGCGCCGACGCGTGATCACCCGCCGGGCGCTCGTGTCACTACTGTACATAATTTTTAGTCTCTCCTGTCTGTATTTTTTTTTAAATAAATCTCTAAAATAAAGCTTCGTCTCCTGATCTGATTCCTACATACGTTAAACATCACTGAGGAAACGAAATATTTGCTGCAAGGATGAAATATTCCTTTAATTAGGAGCAGAAGATGTTCACGAATAAAAACTCGTCCTAATTAAAAAAACCTTTGTGTTCTTTTTCAGTCACTTTCTCGCTCATCAGGAAACTAAACAGTGATCACACTTCGCTCTGGTTTCTAATGCTTCATGTAGTCTCTTTACTTTCTGTTTAAAAAATACTTGAGGTTTTATTCTTTCATAGGCTCAGAGGTTGGTTTCATGTCTGTATCAGGTGAACCATGAGATTGTTGGTTTGAATCTCCGGGGCCTCCCTGGATGTATGAATATGATTTATATAGTCAGGTAAAGTCGCCTGTTACCGCTCTGATAAGAACCAGGCTCGGGACGGTTGGTTTGTGCTTCATCTGAAGTCTTTTTTTTTTCCACGTGCCCAGCTCCAATCAGCTGGTATTCCTCATGATGACATGCTGGAGGAGCAGCCATCAGGACTAATGAGTTACACCTGAGCTCGGTGCTCAGGTACCGTCCTGCTGATGTGCTGAAGAAAAGGTTATTTTCAGACAGGTGAGTTTTACCTGCTGTCGCAGCAACAGTTGGTTTAATGAATTAAGATTTTCTTGGTTTTATTTCTTGAGGCTTTCCTCCACTGCAGGCTGTAGCTGTAGCTTGTCAAACGGCCCTCAAAGCAGCAGAAGATTTAATTTGTGAGACGCAAACGCGTCCAGCCAGCTGGTGTAATACCAGTATTGAACACAGGGCGGCAGTGCTGTTAGTGACTTGCTTTTCTTTTTTCTTTTACGGTGTTTGGGATGTTCTGTTTTCAGCCGACGTCTGAATGGTTGGTGCAACATTTGTGACAAACTACAGGTGGGTGACGAAAAGACTGGAAGAATGAGCTATAACAAAAACACAAAAATATTCCCTCCTTTGGTGTTTTGATGGGACTTTGAAGAAGTTGCTCATTGTGAACAACTTAGTTTTATTTCTACAGCACACGCTTAAGAGATTGAATCGTTTGTGTAAAATAGGAAATATATGAATTAAAATGGTATTTATTAAAATTGTAAAAACTGCCTTGAAGCGTAAATGTGACTGAGATATAATCGGTGTCACGTGGTCCCGATCATCAGGCCTGTCCTTCCGGCTGTGTGTCATCGATCAGCTGTGGTGATGACGCCATCTCCTCTGGCTGTTCTTCATTCACTGCTGATTTGAAATCCTCATGTGATTATTGTTATTAACATCATCACTCGAAGTTGTATTCAAAGTGCTTTAGTAGATACTTGGACCAAGGATGACAGGATCCAGGAGAGCTGATCCCACATTATTATTTTTTTAAAGGATTTTTATTTTTTAGACAAACTGAGAAAATACAAATAAGGGAACTGTTTGATCAGGATCAGCACTTCCTTCTGGATCCTGAGAAATCAGGTCATCTCTGGCGGGGAGAGGATTTTTATCTTGGCTTCTGTAGCACAGCAGTAATAGTATCAGTGGTGGTGAATTTGAGGAGGATGATGAAGTGTCGTACCTGGAAGAGGAATTGTAGTTCTGATTGTAGGCCGAGTTCAGAGGCAGACAATCATCCTGCCCTGCCTCCACAGGGCAACGCAGATCTGCAAGTGTTTTCAATCAGCAAGCCTCAAATCCTGATTTTACTGAAGATCAATTCAAGGCCATTATGTTCAACTGAGACTAGATTGGAAAAAAAATAGTTAAAATAAAACTAGTCTGTAAAACTGAAACAATTCTTGTGACTTAGAAAACTATTAAACAAAACAAAAGACAGTAAGTTATTACAATGTTTCTGATGAGGCGTTGATGGATGTGTGACTCTGGATGTAAACGGACAGAAAACGTAACAGTTTTTATTGTAACTGATTCTCCTAAACCTGGTGTGTGACACACGCCCTCCACACATTATTAAAAAAAACTAAAACAAAACTGAATTAAAAACCAAAATAAAATGACAAACATTAGTAAACAAAGCTGCAGCGACTCATGAACGTATGACACGAGCTCGGACACAAACTAAAGGGAGATTGTTTTTATTTTTTAGAAATTGTACTTTAAAACCACCAAGATCGTTTATAAGGCATTCACAACAAATCTTTGTCTTTAATTTTTCAGTTTTTAGACATTACAGATGCTTTCAGGAGGGTTTCCTAAAGACAGGAGAACAGCTAAGGCACAGCAGCACAGCTCCCAGCGAGAGACGACGACAAAGAGGAGACTGAGGAACGGGCTGGTCGGACACGTGGACGGCGCCGCGGCGAAGCGCAGCGGGACGCCCTCGGCTGGGACCGTCCTCCAGAGTCAGAACATCTCAGGAACGTTTTCACACAACGCCACCACTTCTGCGACACCGTCACAGTCCAAACATCTGCATCTTAATACTCATTAACTTAAAAACTGTACATCATCTGTCAGGTTTACGTAGACTAGCTCGATATATGAAAAATACACACTGGATGTAAAAATGGCTCTGAATCGGTTTGAGTTTGAATAGAAAAAAATAAATGAGTTGAATTTGGTATTAAACTGCAGAGGTTTTAAATTCAACTCATTATGGCCGCTTAATGTAACCGTAAATAAATGTAACCCTCACAGACCTGCGTAGAACCGACACATTCGTGCTCCACACGCTCAGACTCTTAGAACTCCTTCAGAGCTGCTGGGCTCCAGCTTTGGTCCCATTTATGTAAAAAACAAACAAAAGAAAAAGTTTTGAATAAATTAATCGAGTAGCCGTTTGTACAGCAGAAAGTTTGTCGCTTTGTAACGTGTGCAGATTAAAGGAAAGAGGACGCGGACGTCTCACTTCAAGTCTGAGGGATTCAGACATGGCACAGAAAGAAAACACACAGAGTCCGAACAACTTAAGAAAACTCATTAAATATATTCTGTCCACAAATGATCACTTTAAAAGATTAATCATAATTTCCCCTGATACCCAACTGGCTCTGTGAGAAGATCTGTGGTTGCTGAGAACTGATTTCAGGCTCATTATCTCTGGAAAGCTGGTTAAAGGCAAAATCATCGATACGGTCGCTGCGGTGGGATTTGCATCTACAGCTGCTTCTGTGGATGATTCATACAGACACGGCATTGATGTAAAAAAAGAACATTTTTACAGTTAAATGTCAGCAGTTATTAGTTAAATATTTCTAGATTTTACTTAAACCGATTTTCCTTTTTAAATAAGAAAAAACAGAAATGTTTCCAGCTCAACAGGACATTAAAAACAAGCTTTCAGAAATCACATACCGTGCTTTAAAGTGGGCTGTTCTGCTCCCTTCCAGCTCTATTTTTATTCTTGGACTCCATCAGAGTAGCTTTGCATGATTCAGTGTTCAAAATAATCTGTTTATCTCACAGGCTTTGTGCACATCCTTTCTCGCTGACGTCAGAGCCAAAAGGAAAAAAACCTGTGACACGGTTTAAATCAGATTTTGTTTTTTAAGAGGCTGATTTTGGGTTTTAAACTAGTAGCATAAAAAAAAATCTCATTCTGAGGCTTGATTCAGGTTTACGTTGGAGATTTTAAATAATGGGCCTAAAGAACGAGCAACCACGTCTGTTTTCAGCATGTGACCCTAAACTCAGGGAGACACTCGTACAACAAGAGGTATAAAGTTCTGCGAACACTCTTAACACACTTTCACTCACTCACTCGAGCACGCACAGCTTTGTAGTCCTAAATAAAAGTGAGAGCAGACCGAATGAGGACTGAAGGAGAAGATTTTCCTCAGTGTCTCTTCCCACTGTTCCCTCTGATGCTCCATCTGTCCTCTCTGTTCACGCCCACAGACTTTAAATAAATAAATACTGGACACAAACGGGACGTCAGCCCCGTGTTTTCCTTCATTTTCCCTCGTCTCATCCTCCCTCAGTCCGTCCGCCTGCTACCTTATCCGCCCGTCCTCTCTGGGCAGGCTCAGTTCGGATTTTGGATCGGGGCTGGCGGAGCTCCACGCGGTGAGACGGCAGCGCTGCATGACCGGACAGGCGCTGGGGCCCATCGAGCAGACGTCTGAGGCGGACCAGTAGCCCTCCAGCAGCCCGTCCAGCCAGCGACGCAACGGCGCCCCCGTCAGACTGGCGTTGGCCTCGGCCTCCTCGACAGCGCCCAGGCTCACCGGCAGCTGCAGGACCGGGTTGAGGCCGTGGAAGCTCTGCTCCATGTAGGAGTTCTTGGCTGGTCCGCCGTGCAGCCGCAGAGCGTCCTCTGGAGTCCAACAGCAGAAGGACAAAGAAAGTCTGAGTTAAACTGGGACCTGAGCTGCCACAAAAAGTGACATCGTCTATGTAAGACGCAGGTAAGAAATAAGGAAACAAATCAAATGTAACAACAGTAAGCACAAAATGTTTATCCAAACAAAGACGCACATTTCATTTCAAAGACTGTATATAAAAGTTGGAAGCAAGAGTAGGATCTGAGTGAGAAACTAACGGCTGCTGCACACGAGGTTCGCATTCTGTAAGCTTCTGCTTCACGTCATGGAAAGGGTCAGTCTCACAACCAAGAGTCGCCCCCTGCTGGTCATGACAGGGAATGCTGGTTTCACTACAGAACAAGTAGCCATTCAGTATCAGAGTTATAACAGCTTTCTATCTTTTGCACATTTTTCTGAATTTTAAAGGTTGTTTTTTTTAGTCGTTATTGCTTAAAAATGTTTTTAAGTTTCACAGTAAGTCTTCATCTTTTTAATTACTGCAACATGAGGCATATTTCAAGAGTAAAATTTAAGGAGCTTACAATACGAAGAGCCACTTTTTGAAGCCTGCTGACCCGCAGTCCTGTGCATGTGCAGCAAAGCCTCAGACGGGCTGTGCAGACAGATCTGACCAAATCCAAACCACTCAACGTTTTTAGTTTATCGTTAATTATAAAAACCATGCTAGGAGTGGACATTTCAAACAAAAATGCTGCAAACTTTACTGTGAACTGTTTAACTTTTTAATAAAGTGCTTAAATGTAATTAATGATTATTGGTGGAATAGTTCATTAGCGAGAAGCTTGAGGAGTCTTCTCTAAATTAATTGGAGGTGAATGCTGTTATTTTAAAGTACAGCCACCAGTTACAGATGCCTGTGCAACAACAGTCCGATCGGATCGCGTCACGCACCACCTGCACTTCATAGCAGCGCCCTGTAAAACCTCGGTGTCTATTCGTGCACCGAGCTTTACTTAGTCCTGCAGTTATCCCCTGGATACCCACACATGGCCCGAGGAGGTCAAACAAACCGAGCGTTAACCCGGGGCAGGCTAATTCGGACAGAGGTGACCCCGCGTGGGCGCGAGAGGGCGATTGGATACGCCACTATAAATATATGTTTGCATGGTGCTGACAGCTGTGACAGGAGGGCCTCTGCTCTGTGTAATTTAAGTACTGGCTATTATCTGCTATTGACATGAACAAGTATGAAGATCCTGCATATAGTTAACACTTGTTTCCAGGAGAGTTTCTGCAGGCCGACACTTTGTGCCAGGGTTAAGCCCAACCTGTTATTAAATGTGCTTTAGAAATAAATGAAATGAAATAACTCGCTGTGCATGTAAGTGAAATGAATCCAGTGGATAAAAGTACTCTGATTACTAAGAACACACGTCTTCTTTTAACCACCAATGAATTTCTACTAAAGTATGAGGCTGTAAACTTGGTTTAGCCAAAACAGATGAGAAAACTTGCAATGATGTGTAAAAGTCCAAGTCTGACTCACAAGCACAAAACAGAGACTTCCCATCTCAGGGAGGTTTTAAACCTGCACTCTTTCTTTACAGGTAGAGCTGCCTTGGTCCTGTATATTTCCTGGAAACCCTGCACTCGTGCTTCTAAGCAGGATGAGGTCCGATCACCCACCTTGCTGTATCGGCCTTTGCCTGTGAAACTCCAGAGGAGCCACGATGAAGCTGGTCTGGCCCAGCGGGCTCCAGTGGTGCAGCACCCTCAGTGTCCACATACCAGGCCTCAGCGGGGAGGTGAGAGGCGGCCGGTAGTGTGTGACCTCAGCGGAGGCGTCCACCAGGATGTCGTAGGTGGCGGCGATGACGTTGGTGGGGTCGATCCAGACAATCGTAGCAGTCAGGTTGCTCTGGCTCCGGCTCCAGCGCTGCACGGCCACCGGCTCGGCCTCTGGCCCCAGGAGACGCCCCCAGTTCCTGAAGAGACGCTCCTTAGGATCCCAGTCGGTCCCCACCTGAACAGCAGAAAGGTCAGAGACGACTCTTAAAGCTGTCTATACGAATGCGCTGCAGCTTGACAGAGTTTAGACATCGGTTAGAGAAAGGTGCACGTGAGACGCGTTTACTGATAGGAGCCTACCAGCTGTTCTCCAGGCTCGATTCCTCCAACTCTCTCCTCTCTGGCATCAACAAAAAGTCACTCTCTCACCTCCAGTTAGGCCAGAATGCACCAACTCAGCTTCTTTACTGGTTTTAGTACTAGTTCAGGCCGGTTTTGGCTTCCTGTATATTTTTAGAGTTCACTTTAATATTTTACTGATCACTTTTAAAGCATGTCGTGTCTGGCCTGCAGAAGTGTCGACTCCTGGGCCTCAGAGCTTCAGGCTGGTCCCTCGTGGCTGATCCAATCTAAAGCTGGCTGGTTTTGCCACCAGGGCCCCGGCTTTGAGCTGACCCGGCCGATGAGATCGAGCTCGCACAATCAGTGACCTCCTTCTATCCAAGAACTCGTTTTTATAGACTTTACGTCACACTGTTACACGTGATGTCGCTTCCTTCTGTCTCTTTCTTGTGACAAAGGAAAACTTTACAAAGTATTCCGACTGGTTTCTCCTGAAACTGGCTGAAAATGTGTGAAAGCTGCTCTAGAATACGTCACTGCAGGGGGCTGATCTGTTAGCGCTCACTGTTGGCTTTAGTTAACCTGTTCTAGCCGGTCATAAAACCACAACTTAACATTTCTGCAGCAGAAATATTGAACTGTTGGAGTCCCAGCGTGGTACAACCGTCACAGTCACATCGGCCGTGTGTGGGATGCTCTTGTTCACGTCTCTGCTGTCTTTCGTTTCTCGGTAATCCTGTGAGATTGGAGATTCACTCTAAATTTTTGTATTTTCACCTACACGTTTTTCTATTTACCTGCTTTCTAATTTTTGAATATTTGCTATTAGTCCTTGTTTTTACTTCCCTGCAGGGATCAATCATTTCTTAGACTTCAAAACATTAAAGCATCCTGGGACATTTTTGTAACTGAGAATATATTAAGGCATGTAAACTGAGGTAATAATAAACCCAAAACGGTGACTGCAGAACGATGTCCATGTTTATGTTTAGTTAAGAGAGGCCTCATAAAGACACAAGTCTGACCTGGATGTGTTGGAGCCTGTTAGCGGCATGTGGAGAGCTGGTCAGGGTGAAGTGGTCTTTGGCGGCTACCCAGGTCTCCAGGGTTTCCAACTGGTTAGAGGCTTGGTTGGTAGCCACATGATGGACCAGGTAGCCCTGGTACTGGTCGGACAGGAAGTAAAGGTGCACAGACACCGGGTGACTCACGCCGACGTACCTGAGAAAGGAGAGAAAAAAAAGAAAAAGCATATTTAAATCACATGTACAATAAAGTAGATACAACTTCCTCCCCTGACTGGTCCCAGCAGATGGCTGCCCCTCTCTGAGCCTGGTTTCTTCCTGTTAAAAAGTTTTTCCTTCCCACTTTCACCAAGTGGATCAAACCCGTGTTATCCTTCAAGACAAAATATCTTATTTTATTAGTATCAGAGGCGATCGTGGCTCAAGAGTTGGGAGTTCGTCTTGTAATCGGAAGGTTGCCGGTTCGAGCCCCGGCTTGGACAGTCTCGGTCGTTGTGTCCTTGGCAAGATGCTTCACCCGTTGCCTACTGGTGGTGGTCACACACCTGTGTGTGAATGGGTGGATGACTGGATGTGTAAAGTGCTTTGGGGTCCTTAGGGAGTAGTAAGGCGCTATACAAATACAGGACATTTACCAGAGAACACATGATGCTTTGGACAGGAAGTGCAGTTTGTTACAATGTATCAAACTGCACTTCCTCTAACGTCCACTAGAGGCAGTCTCAAAGCGAGTCGGTTTAAAATACCCAACTTTACAGATAAGATGTTTACAGACTAACACAAAAATGTTTGTTAATTTAATCAATTAAATAAAATGATTTTTTTAAGGATCTCACTAAGTCGACCGTCAGGTGGATGGCACAAGTAACTGTAGCTGTGAAGCTTCACCTCACTGGAGTCCCTGAATTGGACCTCTGGAGTATTTGGAGCATTTGTAATACAATCATCTGACCAATAATTTTCCTGCTGTGCAGTTAATTGTACTGACATGCCACCCAAGAAGTCTGGGCTCCAGTTTTGATGTGTGAAATTCTAGGATTTTAATTGGATGTTATTCAGCACTAATTAGCAGGTATCGTGTCTGCCCACATAGTCTATGAATGCAGTTTGCTAACCAAGCCGGCTAATTATCTGGCACTCCACCCGCTCAATTTCTGTCTGTGAAAAAAGCCAGCAGGGCTGAAGCTGGGCCTTCAAAATGTAACCATCCTGCTCTCGACAGCCGTCTTTGATGTACAGTCTATGTTAATCCTACGTTTCCCATTAACTACAGAATGGATCAAATGAACATTTGATTCAAACATTATTTATCCATAAAAATTCATCTTAATGAGTCTGGTGATCATCTGACATTTCATGTGCAGGAAAACCCGTGACGTTTGGTCTGTGTTCAGTGCAAACGATGGATACAGGAAACGCTTTAAGCATTACTGTACAGCAGGGTGGGCAACTCCAGGCCCCGAGGGCCGGTGTCCTGCAGGTTTTAGAGCTCACCCTGGGTCAACACACCGAATCAAATGATTAGTTCATTCCCAGGCTTCTGGAGAACTTCAAGACATGTTGAGGAGGTCATTTAGCCATTTAGATGAGCTGTGATGGATCAAGGACACATCTAAAACCTGCAGGACACCGGCCCTCGGGGCCTGGAGTTCCCTGCTTTGCACTGTAACGTCACAGGCAGCTGCTGGATTATGGCTCCAAATTACTCCAAGTTTTTTCCAAAAATATTTTTAAAAACTTAAACCTACATTCTCCTAAAAAACTCCTCCTGTTTTATTTTTTTTATTTATTTTTTTCCAAGTATTGTTGGACTGGTAGAAATTCAGACTCCTAGGAATGATGCTGACGCTCAGGTTCGCTGCCTGATTGGCTGTCGTTAGTCACATGTCCCCATTCGCAGAAGACAACGGAAACATCAGCTGTGACTGTCTGTGGTTAATTCAACATGGTAGTAAATTACAGGTAATGCTGACCTTGTTGTCTTTGAGATGCCCCCAGGATGTGACTGCTCTCCACAGTAATGCCAATCATTTGGATGCAGCCTCAATTACAACATTCAGAGCTTCTGATGATTAGATTTTAAGGCTTACGGAGTCTGTTATCTCCCTTTCTGCAGCCTTTTCTGCATTTTCTTCTGTTGTGTACACACTGTTGCAGTAGTGCTCGTATATATAATAAACTCAGGCTTTAAACTCTGTAAATGCTCAAATTCAGACAGTTTTCTGCTCTTTAATCTTTATGTAAAAGAGTCCTTAACATGTTCATTTTTCTGCTCTGATTGTGAGCTGCACTTCCCCCCATCCTGCTACGATTCTGACTTTCTGCTCTGAAGGGGAAGCCAATCCCATTAAAGACAACTCAAAGAAGAAGGGCGCTGAGACAGACAGAGGATGGACCGGCCAGCGTTTACTGGCACAGATTAGGATTATTTTGACTCATGCAAAGGTACTTTGCTCCAAATGTGAAACCAGCTCTTTGAAGAATGACATCAGGTCGGCTATCATTCATTTCCTGACGAATGGCTTCACCTTATTATCAAAATCGTCTCTCAGGTGTTTATGTCTGTTTCTCCTTTTCCATTCGGACGGGCAGGCGAATGTTTTTCCTGGAAAACACTTTTTCTTAACGTGACAGCTCGAATCCCTGAATCTCTACAGAGGATGTGGAGAATCTCCAAGGACCTGTTAAACCAACTAAAGCACCACTGTGAAGGGAACCGTGTCTGCCTGCTTTCAAATGCATCTATGTTACTGCAGACATGGTTTTAGAGGTCTCCGACTGAAATCACAGGTTGAAGGAAACAGACTGGCCCTTTCTAACCACCCCCTACTTCCCCTTGCACACACACACTCCCATAATGCTGCCCCCACCCATGCCAGCCACCAATCCCCACCCAAGCTCCAGCAACAAGTACCTCCTTGTACCTACTGTGGGTCTGTGAGAGAGACTGAGCTGGAAAAATCTAGCCTGTGCAGAAACTGAAGCCTGATTGTACAAAGGAACAAGCTCGCCTTATCTTCATATTTAATTTGGACTGCACAAACACCAGCGGTGGCCAGTTTGGCGGAAAGACATTTCATCTGCTAGTCCTCCCCTTTCCCCTGAGAAGACGACTGCACAGTTTCTTTCTCTGCAAAAAGCACGATTTACTGGCACGGCCAATAATAACAGTGACTGATGGAAACTGATGGAGGTGATACCTGCACCTCTGCTCCAGCCTCTGACAGCCGTGCAAACACTGAGCTGGACCTGATGAGACGAATGCTTCAAACCAACAACAGCTTCATCTTCACTTTACAGTTTCAAAGTTGTTGCAGTTCAAACCTGAAGGCTCTGCAAACACTGCACTGCATGGCCGATCACGTAGATAATAAATGAGAACGGTGGAAAAAAGGGATCCTGAGACACGATTACGCCTGTAGATGGATGCTCCCCCATGCAACACCCTGTGCTATTCCCAGCCTGATTGCCCCTGATAAAGCCGAGGTTTTTATCTCGTTTCCTGCCTGCAGGTGAGGAGCTGAGCTCGAAAAATAACCTGAGCAAAACAACCCAAATTCCCTCTTTACAAACCAAAAAGAGGCTGTTTGGCTGACGTGTTTGGACTCGTTATGTAGGCCAAGTTTTCAGTATGATTTTAATTAAAGCTTGCACAGCACTATTTGATTAATATAGAGAAAGCAGGAAACCTGAGCAACATAACTCATTTTCACACATCCTTTCCAGCCTGAGCTTCTGTAAACATCATCTGACAGAGGTGTGAGAGAACGTAATGCCTGATGCAGATGGATCACACGATCATACGTTAGCCGGCTGGAACCTGTCAGTGACGTCAGACTGGGCCAGTGTGCAAACACCGCAGCTCACAGTCGGGCACATTTACTGCTACTGAGTGAGCATTATTCCTGCAAGCTCCATGCATGCAGACCCCTCAACGAAACCACACGGAGCGGTTCCAGTATCGAGTGGCTCTGAAGTGGATCGATTCCTGCTGTGTGGCGTTTGTGGAAAATATCCTCACAGAAGTGTCCATGTGTGAAACGGTGACAGTCAATAATCTGAGCTGTGAGAATCATTTTTCTGCTAATCCGAAAATGTTTTTCTGTTGATGCCGTGAAGCACAACACTTCCTGTTTGTTTACCCTGAAGTTGCACGTCATGATTCGATGCACTCTGAACGTTTATGCTCCCATTTGTGGTTATTGGTGTTAACAAAAGAGCCTTTGGATGCTTCTGGGACAATTTTGAACCCCAGTGCATACATGCACATGCACGCCTGGGATTTCCGTGTGGTTGGAGCCCAGCACCCTTGTTTGTACCTGCAGCTGTTGTCGCTGGGATGTCCCTGGAGCGAGCTGGCAGCGCGGGACAGTCCCATACGAGCAAAGGCGTGGTAGTGGGTGAGTGCAGAGTCCGACAGGCCCGCGGGTCCGTCTGTCTCTGCCTCGTAGATGTTCTCCCAGTAGGCCTGCAGACCCGGTGTTCCCGAGGCGAGAGCTCCGAACAGGTAGGCGTCCAGCTGGCTGATGATCTCCTGACTGACGCTGGCCTCAAACTTCCGGGCGAAGAAGGTGGGTCTGGACGCTTGCTGCGGTCAGGAGAGACAAGACGAGGAGGGATGAAGATATGTGCACAATAAAAGGCAGTTTGATGGTCAAAAAGAAGATATTTTACTGTTTTCACTGACTCACTGGTTGAAATGAGTCCAAACACAAGGAATACAATCCCATGGTGCCTTGCTGTCACAAACAGGTTTATTCATGCTGTTTACGTCCAGCATACCTGCAGGATCACTGATGTTTACCAAGAAAAACATGAAGCTCAGCAGCCTCAGTCACTGCTTTCTGCAGCTGTGGTGCAGTGAGATGAACGTTGTAATGAAATGAGTCAGTTTCCCAACAGCTCCAACACTGAAGCCTTTACTTTACCCGCGTTAACTTCACAGCTACCTCTGCTTTTGACCATTAATTCAATGTTTAGCCTCTTTTATAATGTCTCCACTGCACTGCAAGCCATTCATCCATCAACATCACTCACAGATAACAATTTCAACCACTTAGCTTCACTTTCAGCAATTTAACTCACTGCCACATTAAACTTACGTTTGATGATGCACATTTAAACCTTTTACCCTTTACTTTCTGCTGTTTCTCCCATTTACAATTATAAACATGGAAGATTTATCACTAAAGCATTAGAAATAAACCAAATAATGTCCTTGTTTCTTGTAACAATTTCAACCATTTATCCTTTTAAGTATTTTAACAATTTATCCGTTAAAGTTTATGCTTCTATTCACATATTTAGTTTTCGCTTGTTTTTAGTCACATGACAACATGTCCAGATGTTTTGGCTCTGGAATTTCTATACGGATAAATAGAAATTAAACTGTAAACAAACATCAACTCATCACTCGGCAGCTACAGAGCCACCGAGCTCATAATAAAGGACAGTTTCAGTCAGCATATCTGTTACTGATGATCACGATTTCAGTCAGAAATTCCCAGCATGCAGCTTCACACGTTAAAAACTGTCATTGCAGTAAAAGACTCAGCATCACACACATTTTTTAAACGCGCACTGAGGGAAAAACATATTTCGCATCATTTTATTCTCAGTGGAAGGACGGCCCGGCACCTCCCCGGGATGTGAAAACCCTCTGAGTCAGCACATTCCCAGACAGCTTACCCCGGTCTACACCTGATTCTAACCTAAAACCAAGTCTGGAAACCAAAAGCAGCATTTTGAAGGTCTGCCATATGATGTTCTCACTCCCAGGCTCCAAACTCAAACCACTCCCAACAGACAAGTCTGACATCATGCTGGGATCTCAAAGGAGACGTGAACGGCTCCTTCTTTCCTAAAATAGCTGTGATGGGAAAAAAGACACAAATGATCAAATCAGACGGTAGTAATAAAAGTACCGAGCGAACATTCGCATTGACAACTTTATGAGGTCGCCACCTGGACTGGTTTCCAGTAAAAAGGTGAATCATGTCAAATATTAACTGGTGAAATTTCTCGTCTCATGAATGTAATTTTTATGCCACAGCAGAGAAACAGCTGCTGTAATAATCTGTATTATGGTTCAGCTCATAAAGGAATAAACATTTAAAACATTTTGAGGTTTGTGATGATGGGACGGCATCACATCTGGTTTGAGCTCTGCTGGTTTTCAGCAGAGACAAATCAGATCTTCAGGTCCTGCGAGGGCTATCGATTCATGCAGGTCACAAAAGGCTGGAGTTTAGGAGCTCTTTCATAAAGGTGTGCAGTCAGCGTATGACCTGCACTGATACACTGGATCCTTATTATTGAGAATTCAAAGAGCTCTTGGTTTAGCTGCCGATCATAAAAAGCAGAAGTGCTCAGAACATGTGGGACAGAAGTGACGAAGAGGCTGAGAGCAAGAAGAAGAACTGCAGGAAAGAAGGGCGTGGCTATATGATGTCACGTGGTGAGGTCACACCTCACCACGCCAACTCGGTGGGCTCCGGCAGCACCGGCGAGCCAGGAAACCCCAGACTAATGAGAAGGCCTGAGCAGCCTGCAGCTTTGTTCCTCTGAGAAGTTATTCTGGGCGATTTGTAGCTAAACAACAGTGGAAACCACTAGTTACAGAGTCCGGGAGCCTTTTTGTTTCATCCATCATCAGATCAGAGGGAATCATATAAATCTACCTTAACTGCAAGCTCTCCGCTGTGCCCACAAAGGTCAGACAAGACTGTGATGCTGGAGCTTTATTTAGCCCAGATATATCATCTTTAACCCTTTTATCCTTCAGGTTATTCCAGCAGAGCTGTATTCCCTCATTATTCCCATTACTGATTATTGTTGGCAGCAGTTTGTCCAACAGAAACCAAACTAAGCCTTCAAACTCCCAACCTGACATTTAAAGTGACAAATAAAGCCAAAGATACTCAAGCTTCCCATCAGAGGAACCTAATGAAACCACAGTGTTCACATTTCAGACGCCGGCACCAGTGAAGTCTTTGCTCGTCACGTACTTTGGTCAGTTACAAGTCTGCACATTACCTGTGAAATGTTTCCAACTGATTTAAAGAAGTCAACAACTAAACGAGCAGTAACTGATGCTGTATATGTAAACGGTTTGCTACAAATGACTGATTTTTCAGTGCATTTTATTATTTTTTATTGGGGCCTAGTCTAAAAACTAAAGTGTATGTACATATATGTCCTGTGACCCTTATATCCAGGACTCTGAGCTGCTTTTCCAACTGGCAAACCCGACATTATAATAATGACAACCTTGAGAAACCTCAGCAGTGAGTTTTGGGGAGCTACCGAGCTCTAAAAATATTTTTGCCATAAGTGCAGAGCCGTTTCCAGGATCAGCTCTCCTTATAGAAGCCATCAGCAGCCCCACCACAGGCGCTGTCCTCAGGTCTGTTGTTACAGCGAGCTGAGGCCCGCCTGCTGGAAGTAAAAGCAGCACTGCTAATTTGTGAATGCGAAGCTATTCTGATCTCTGGTGACCTCAGGAGGAAAAGAAGGCGGAGCTTCTGAGACATGATACGGCCACAAATTCACCAGATTTCATATGAGTAAATCTCAAGTGTGGATTTATCCAGCCTTCGTGTGTTCTCACACCACCAATCATAACTGTGACAGGATCTTCTCACAGCCGCTCATAATGGCCGAGACTGTTTTTAGCCAGAGGTGGAAAAAGCTGCATCAGTACAACAGATCTGACTTTAGGTCGGGAACAGCAGGAACTGTGCAACTGCATGCACGCTAAACTGCAAACGGTGAGCTTCACTCGTCACTGGTCTGCGATGTAAGTTTGGTAAAGATTAGGAGCAAATGTTGCCTCTATCAGGGAACTACTGTTGAAGGGATTTGGTTCGTTGTTACGAATTTTTGAAGGATGAATTATTTGTTCACATCAGATCGGGTCTCTCTTTTCTGCAGGCATCCTCTTCACTTCTGAATCTGATTTTTCAAATTCAGTTCAATCTTTAACTCTTAACAGATTTCTCTGTAGGGCTTCCCAAGGTTTTTCTTTTGGGCTTTTAGGGGACAGTACACATTAATCAAGAGACATTAAAGAAAATGCTAATTTTCTTTAATGTCATACCCACAGAGTCGACCTAAAATTCACAAGTTATTTAAACAAACAAAAACAGCCACACAAACAGTCCCTCAGTTTCCCACCAAAATGTAATCTACAATAAGACGTCAGAATGAACTTTTCTGGAATTCAAATCAGTTTTTGTGTAGTTCTGCTAAAAAACAAACAAACAACCCCACAAATGTCACTGGTGTTGCTGTGCTGCTTGTGTGATTACTGCCTGTATACAGGAAACCTGGAAATTCTTATTCCTCAAAGCAAATGTTTTTAATGCGTTTGTGGTTATATAGGATTTAAACGTTAACTCATATGAATCATTTTACTAAAAATATATACATGTTCATATGTCACGTTTCAGTCCGAGTCTCTGATTGGTTAGTTGTGTCCCATGTGATCGAGGAAGCTCTTTGGTTAAGATGAAGGGTTTTGCTGACCCTGAACGCTCAAACAAGAAACTGTCCAGAACATTAAACAGTTAGCGGTGATAGTGTTTAAGTCACTTACAGACTAATGTTAATGATATTATTGATGCTTCAGGAATCATTAAAGTTGTATTAATGTGTGACGATGTAATGCAATGACTTATTTTCTGCAGTAACAACAGTTTACAGAGAAAATCCCAGCAGGGAACCAGGCAATGCTAACGTCCAGGTTAGCTTACAAAAGACGTCTGTGCACATCATCCTGACAGAAACAAGTCCAGCTGGTTTTACACGTAAATGACAAGTCTCCACGTATTTTTTTTGAACTTATGCAAGTTTTATGCTGGGCTCTGATTGGCTCCAAGCCAGCTGTGATGTCACATGATGCTGCACAGTGTGGCGTCCTACCTGGAAGCGCGGCAGATCTGAGGGCTTGAAGTCGTTGGGCGAGCAGCCGCACCAGTCCACGATGTGCTTGTACTGGCACTTACATCCCAGTTTGCGGTTCCAGTTGGTGAGCCTCAGGTTGTTGTCCACCATGGTCTCGCAGTGGGCGCTGTTCTCCAGCACGGTGTGGAAAAAGGACTGGAGGAGGGAGAGGTACGTGTATCAGTCATCATCGTTTGGCTGTTTTATGCATTTAATGCAGAAAAAACCCAAAATCTCGTTTTGCTTTTTGACTTATCAAATATATAAAAAGATTGTGATGATAAAGAGACTCATGTGAAAAATTAGAAGTGTTTCAGGTTTTTCAAATATTCCTAAAGTGAAATAAAACTGAAATATTGCCTCATTTTAAGAGAACAGACTTGGAGGATGTCCCGGGATGGTTTCTGCTGGAATACTTTTTTCTTGTTAAAATGACAGACTCTGCATCGGCGTGGCGTGTCTGAAGAGTTCTATACATGTGTGTGCGTGTGCGTTACCTCGGCGGGCAGCAGCGTGTAGGCGTAGAAACGCTTCATGCTGCCGACCAGCTCGTCCCTGGAGTTGACCACATAATCCACAAAGCGCCTGTTGAGCAGGAACCAATCAGAGCCTCCATCCACAGAAATGCCCTCTGGGATCTTTCGATCTCCAAGACGCCACATGTGGGTGTCGCACTCGTAGAAGAGACGGTCCAGGCCCTGTTTACGGATGAAACTGAGAGGACGCTTACGATTATTCAGCCTGAAGCGTGCTGTAATGAGGCCCTAATAATGACACCTTTTAACCTTTAATGTTATTTATTTTACTTAATGCAGAGTAGACCAGTTTTTATTGATCTATTATTGATTAATTGATCAGTCTATTCTCTGTCTGAAATCCCGTTTCAGCTCCCATCAGCTATTCTGTGATTCAAAGGCTGGAGGATGAGGGGCACAGCCAGTGCTAACCCTAACAGAGTGCGGTGTTTAGCCCACATGTTGTATTTATGTCCGTTTCAATATGATATCTCATATCAGCATCTGACACTGCGACACACACAGGCTTATGTAAAGAACCTGAAAGCGAGCAGTGTTTCCTTCCCACAGATTTCCTTTCTGTGAATCCAGCCAAAGATGTTTCAGTGGAACTGCGCTGGCCCCTCGAGGGCTTTCTAGGAACCGAGCTTTGGTTAACTTGGATATAATTTTGGGATCATTTTCTCGAAGCGCAGGAGCATTTCCAAGTATCTCCCGCTTCATGCTCACAAACGCCGAGAGCTTCAAATCGTTGTTCCATGAATCCACGATTCAGGTTCAGCAGCTCGGCCCGCAGCCCAACGTTACGCTGAGTTATTGTGCAGCTTGTTTTTCACTTCATTGCACTGTTTTAATAAAGGCCCGTGGGGCACGCAGCGGACTCTCTTACCGTGCGTTGTCTCTGCCGTGAGATTTGATGAAGTTCATGCTGCGGTATTTGGACAGGAAAGCCACCAGCTGCTCGTTGGTCCTGAGGAGAGACGACAGCTGTGAATCATCAGATCAGACTCCATCTGACCGGGAGGTGTGGGTCACAGAAACAAACACACCCGGCCCCATGCTGCGAACGCTGCTGTGACTTATGTGTTTGGACCTGAGTATCAACAGTTTCAGTCTGTTTATGTCTAGAAGACGAGCAGTTTGACAGCAACAAGGTTTATAATGTTCATGTTGTGGTGTCACCATGAGCTTCAGTGCTGCTGTTCAGAACGTAGTATTAGGACAACTACGCAGAGAAGATGTTCACATTTCCACTCAGGATGATTGTGAGTCTTATTGAGGCGCCATCATCAGGTCAGAGCTGTAAAATGAAACGTCTCCTTTTTTTTAATCCCTGTTGTTAGCAAGCAGTTTAACAAATCTCGGCTAAACGCAGAGCTCTGATCTCAACATCGTGCAAGTTAGTCTGCCGTGACGAAAGGGGAAAAGGAAAATATATCAGATATACAAAAACCTAAAACCAAACCCGGATTAAACTAGTCTAACGTGAGTCTGAAGCACGTCAGCTGGAGCTTCATCCAAAACAGAGTCTAGGTGTTTGTTTTTACAGTTACAGTAAAAGCTGGCGTGTGAAAAGTTGCAGTAATCAACTAAAATAATATAAAAGCGATCAGAAACAACAGCGTGCTCTCACAAAGATAAAAGACGGTTCATTTTGTCGTGTTACTCTTTAAAATTACTCTAAATATCCTCCGTTAGAAAATGAAAACACTTTTAAACAGCAGCAGTCCTAATCCAGGCTCACCAGGTGTAATAATAGCAGCCCACCTGTCACGTGACCCCAACTTTAAACTATTCATAGGACTATTTTTGAAAGCATCCAGACTTCAGCTGCTCATATCACCAAATCAGACGACACTGAAACACTGCAAGAAGTTTTCATTCTTCTATTTCATCCATCGAGCAAATTTTTATCTTCTAGAGCTGATTTATTGTGTTTTCTCATCTACTCTCTACTCTGTTGTATTTAGTAACTGTTTATTTGGCTTTATTGCACTTTTTGACCCATTTTACTTTATAGTTCTATATTCAGCCTTTACATGGTGTTCGATTGTTTTTTATTTAGATTTTTACTGACTGCGATCATGTATTTCATTTTACTTTATTTTTCTATTTAATTCTTTTGTGTGATTTTTACCTCATTAGAGTTATTTTGTCATAATGAGCTGTTCTACTTCCCAACTTTCCTGTTGGGGATTAAAATAAAAATAAGTATGTTATTTTATTTCAGTCTCCCATTATGTAATAATTCATTCATATCTGATCCTGACATGATGTCATGAGCCTTTGGCCTCCTGAAGAACACAAACAACACCAAACCAAACATTTAGGTGTCTGATGAGGACTTTAATTCCTTTGACGGCCGTACGTCTAAGCAGGATGCTGTTGCTGACGCAGGATGCGGCTCTTGTTGTAAACTGTGCAAAAACAATCTTCCATTTAGGGGAATCGAGGTGATGCTGCGTGGCTGTTTTTTGGGACAGCTGCCCCAGTTTGTTTACTTCCTCTTCCAGGCGAGGGGAAGCGTCTCGGCTTCAGCGCGAGGCCTGAAGCTGAGACGCTCACACGACTCTCCCAGCATGCACAGCGTGGGCCTGGTGTCGGCCCGAGCTGCAGACAGGACAGCAGACGCACAGATCGCTTTGATTACAGCTGATTACAGTCGTTAAGACGAACCGCAGGCGTGCATGTGTGCATTTGTGGCCGTGTTTTGTTGCTGCTGTGCAGAGGCACAGCAATCTATAGCTGGTCGTATATCACCAAAGATTTCTCACATGTACAGATTATATTTACAGATGTGTTAGCTGAGGAATAATTTCACTTTTTGACAGCTGGTGGTCGGTAAGTGACGTTTAGCTAAGAAACAAACAAACCTGGAAACAGGCGTGGACGCTCGGAAGCAGAACTTGTATCTTGGGGCTGCTGTGAATTCGGATGCTTTGACATCTGTTAGGGCTGAAACGGTTTTGTTCCCTTCGTGTTGAGACGCATGAACTCGTGTTTCTTTGCTGACTCACTGTTTATATGCACCGACCTTTTTTTCTAAATAATGTGACCTTAACTATAAATAAATCATTTTAGGAGGAAACTCAACAATAACAGAAGAGTTTCATGTTCTCGTCTGATTGTTTTCTTTCATTTGTTTCTTAAATGTATGAACGACACATTTGTAACATAAACAGCTGGAAAATCATCCGTTTGTATTTAGCTCCTAATCTGAGCTGATCAGTTACTGGGTTGGTACATCTGTCAAACTGGCCTGCAGTGGTGAGTACATGGACAAAACACTAAAATCATCTTTTTCTCTTATTTTGTCCAAGAACAAAGATAAAAACATGATCCCACAGAGCAGTGCTGTGTCTCTTCCTTCGGTGTGGCCTCTGGCCTACAGCTGGCCCACAGCTGGCCCACAGCTGGCCCCAATTATTCATGGAAACATACCTTTATCTTTTTAAAAAACAAGAACCTGTTTGTCGCAATCTACATGCAAACACTACAGCTTGTTTTAAAAAAAACATCTGATTAGGTTTTTGCCTGCAGATAGACGGGCCGTCCATGACTCCCTGCAGTGTGCCAACGTTCAACACACACGTGCAAAGACAGCGTGACGGCGAAAGCTGAAAGAACTGCATACATTAAGTTTATTTCACCTTCCTGCTCAGCTGGATGAGGGCGTTCCCCTCTCTGCTAAATCGGATTTTTCCACAGCCTCTGTTGTTTAGCCGTCATCTCGTTGTCAGAACAATATAGTCTTATTCTGCCAGTGTTCATCAGGACCAGCGATCAATAAACTCATTCCCTACTTATCCACATCTCCCAAAACCTTTCCTCACCCCTGCTCCAGACTCTGGACACTTCATGGCACCACAAACTCCACAGTGGATCTTAAGACTGACGGGAAAACAGGTCTCGAATCTGCTGATCTGTGACCTTTCTGATGGTTTTATGGTCTCAATCTCCAGTTTCAGGTCTGATTAAATTCAAAATGATGTCATCTTTATGAATTATGATCCACATTAGGGTACAAGAATCAGATTATGCTTGTGGGCGGGTCTACTTATGACAGACATGTTGCAAACATCCAAGCATGTTGCACAAACACTCTGCTTACGAGGGGCAGCCAATCAGAAGGTGGTGTGCTTTAAGTGGGAGGGGCTAGAAGAGGAGTTGAGGAGCTGCACAAAGAACCGTGAGAAGATAAACGAGGAGCTGCGACTCATCCAAAGCACCTCTCGTAGAGTCCAAGAATAATTTAATAGTGTGACGGGTTCACTTTGAGCTCCTCTCTGTCCCGATTAACTGAACGTCCTCCTCACAGAGCGGACTTCCTGACGCGCCCTCCTGCTGTGCTCATGCACATTTCCGTCTGCTGCTTTAACAGTTTACGAGAAAACTGCAGAGACTGATCTGCAGTCTTACCGTTTAGCCATTTGGAAGAAACGTTTGAATGTTTAAGTGAAGAAAGAGAAAGCTGTGTGACCCCCTCTCCACAGAGAGCCGCCATCGCTCATGACGTCACAGCGATCGATGGATGCTGTGGTGCTAACGCTGCAGCTGTGTTATGGATTTTAGCCAGAAGCATGTTCAAACCATCGCTGTTATGGAGGACAGCAGGCCGGTGCTCGTGAGCTCACGAGGACAGAACGATGGGAAAGAAAAAAGACTGAAAGATGAACACGTGTCATCAGTCTGGAGCTCTCCACAGAAACTGCTTCGTTCAGATGAACGCTGGCTTTAAACAGTCAGCATTACGACTCCAGGTCTGATTTGGAGAAGTAAATAAATTTGATTGCATCTGTGAGGCTTTTAGCTCTCGGTCCAGACTCCAGGGTGTGGAAATCTGAAAACACCACTTTGCTGTTTCACTGTGTACAAAGTAAACAATGACCTCAGCTGCTCAGCCGTCCACCAGTAAAGTTTAAACAACCTTCAGTCACCTTTAACTTTCCATTTAAAAGCTAATACCAGAGTAGCCCCAGGCCTTTCAGGGTGACAGCTCTCTCTTTGCTTTTCCACGCACGGTTTGTTTATGTTTGGATTTCTGCTGTGTGTGACTTAATTAGTTCATTTATAGTTTATATTTCTATTAAAACAGCAAACTAACCGCTGCAGGTAATACAACAAATGACTTACATCCTGAGAGGAAAGCAGGACGGAAACTTTCATGGATTTTGTCAAAGAAAATGATCGATGCATTACAAACGCTGTGTCTTCTTCCCTCACAGAGAAGAATGTCATTAGCAAGGGCCGCAGCCACATGCTAATGACATGTTGGTGTGCTGCGAGCGTGCACGCCATCGTGCTATTTGCCTGCACTGTTGTGCTCATGTTGTGGACCGTGGCCGGTCACTGCTCAGAGCCAATCTGTTTTCACAGATTATAAAAGCGGGAAAATGAATAAAAGCTCACTTGAATGTGAAGACTGTGATTCTTATTTTGTCTCTTTCTGTTAACGACCAAAGGACAGATTATCTTTAAAGAAACGTTAAAGAAAATTTGGTTTCTCTCTTTTTCAGACTATTATCTGTACACCATAGATATGGTCCTGTGGGACAATTCCACCAGAGCGGCAGATCCTGAAAGACTCAGACCAGCCACGCCACATCAAAGTAGACGTGGAAACTACCTGCGTTTCTGTGTCTACATCACTAAATGAGTTTCGGTCATGCAGCTGAACAAGTGTACCTAATAACTTGGCTTCTATATTTATATACACGTACAAATACTGTTATGCTGTTTGATGCCGTTTTTATTCTTCTCGATATATGGTGTCATAGAGAGGCGTTATAGGTCTCAGGAACAGAAGCTCCACCCACCTGCTGCGCCGACCCTCTGTTTATGAGGGGCAGCCAATAAGAAGAAAGCTATGGTATGCCTCTGTCACACAGGCACATACCAAATGCCTGTGGATGCGATGGATGGAGCTAAAACCAATTAGAACAACTGTGTGATGTAGCTCTGAATGCCAAAACATTAAGAACAGGCTTGAGTGGAAATGTGAGCTCTGAGATTCGTCTGCTTCCAGGGTTGAACTCTGGTTTAAAACTTTAAGTCATTCATAAATATTTACAAGAAATAAGAATGTGGATCAGATAAACACTTACTCAGAAAGAGCACAAAGACACTGGCTATTGATTCGCCTGCATGCAATCATACTTTTCTCTTAAGATTTGCACCTAATTTTGGACTCTGTGGAAACTGATTAGGTCACAATGAAACCTGATAAACTTAAACCAATATCCTGGCTGAGGTGCATTAAAGTGCAGTAGAGCCGATTCCTTTCACACGTCACCCATCTGTGACCCTCTGACATCCCCAAAGCCAGCTCACACCTGCTCCTAAATTGCTAGAAGACCTGCCTGAGGCGTTTACTCAGGAAGGCGAGAAGCAGCTGGATCTCATCTTGCTTCACATCCCTGCACCAGTTCAAACACACCGATGACCCAAAACGTATCCTCCACCGGCCTCTTTATGTAACCTCGTTACTGCTTCATATAATTCAGGACTTCTGCTGATCACTGCCGATCCCTTCAAACCGAGACACGGGACAGCCAAGAAGAAATGCTCTGCTTCACAGCTGCAGGCTCACGGCTCGCTCTGGTTTACAGTCGTATAGATCAAGTTACCAATAAACCACAAGAGCATCAACTCAAACAAACAAGGCCCACAGGACTGGGCAGATTAGTGGCTGTTAGCTGACATGAGTGGCACAGCTTCCACAGCCATCTGTACTACGAAGCAAGCTCAACGTACGCAGGTTATCTTCTCTACCTGCGGTACAGTCGGGAAGCTACACCTGCAGCCGAGGAAGTACGAGGAAGGAAGAAGCCAGCAAGAAACACTGGCAGAAAGAAATGTGCCAGTTAACAGATTATCAGCATCACAGCTCACAGGAAGATCTGACTGTAATTACAACTCTGTACGCTGCCATTGTGTTCCTTAAACAGAGGATTTCAAATGATGACTGACAGTGTCAGGCCTTTACATTCAGGAGCAAACCAACTCCAAACCAGGAAGTAGCCTGACTTACAAATTTTATAAAAGGTCGTCACGTAATGACCTTTTAGAGCAACTTTAGGTCTGACACATCTTCCAGCAGTGGTGGTACTGTTGCTCATGGGATTAAATGGTGAGCAGGTAGTTTTGGAAAAGCCTCATTAAAAGCCTCATTAAAACCTCATTTCACCCACTTCAGTCTATTTTAAACAGATCTGTGGTGTTTTATCCACCAAAGGCTGTTTGTTTTTCTGCAAACTGACCTTTTCTTACATCACCAGAATCAGTCAGATCACATTTGCAAACTCGACATAAACTACATGAACTACAGGCACTTTCAGCTGGGGCTCATCTTCACACTGTAATCACATCAAGAAACACGTTTTAATATCAGGTGTAAACTTCAGCTCAGGCTCTTACCTGATGGGGTAGTCTGCAGCGCTGAGATTGATGAAGAAGTCCCAGGACCAGTCGGCCATGCTGAGGAGGTCCTCCATGCTGCGTAGGTACATGGTCAACAGGCTGGCCCCGCCCCAGATGGTGGCCATCCTCCAGGGAGTCACCCGCACGTTTGGATACCGGCTGGCCAGAGACACCACCTCTCTGTGGAGGTAGTTGGACCTCTGAGAGAGGGAAAGGATCACAATTAAGAAATCTGACAGCGGTGATAGGCTCCACCCCCCCGGGATCCACTGGAGATGGATTTTTTTCAGCAGTTCAAACACTTTCGTTACTGTGGACATCGACAGAGCTTCAAAACTGCTTTCTCAACCATTCCACAGGATTTATAAAGCTCACTATAAACGCACATTTAGCTCCATTTTTCAGACGGTGAAATCAAGGGTGTCGGACTCGTCCCAAGAGATGTGGACTGGGCGTCATGCTGCCGGCTTTATAGTCACTGCTGCTAAATGCTTTGGTGCAGGTTTAAATGAGGGAACAGGAAACGTTGCCTAAAAGTGGCGTGTTACGATGTAAAAGTCTGATTATGAGCCGGTTAATGCTGCACAAAGTTTTAAAGCTTCTCAGCTGAAGACGTGAAGAAAATAACAGATTCAGATAAAGTGACGGCCCGGCGGTGGGGGCGCTCGCTAGGACTGTGGACAACCTTGCAACAGAGCGTGCACAGACTCATGGGACTGTTAGTGTTATTTATTCAACTTTTATTGTAGCAGGAAGTCCCACAGAGATGGAAATCTGTTTCCTCTGGGAGACCTGTTTGAGGCTGAAGCCACGCAAACTCTCAAAATAATAAAAATGCAACAGATACAATTTATAGTGGAGCTTACACAACATGATCTAAACCAGCAACAGCAGTCTTAAGATGACACAGTCTCTGCATTCTTTACATCAGAAACCTGTTTAAGTTCAGATGTTTTGCAGGATTAGTGTTATTAAGTATAGAAAACGCTGTGACGCTCCATCATTACTACAGTTTGTGTTTGTTCTCTGATCGTTGTCTTAATTACGACAGTGTTAAGTTCAGGTAGCAACGAGCTGCTGATGACTGAGGCGACTGTGCTGACGTTCATTGACTGTAACTGTTCTTTAAAGCTGCAGTGAGTCCAAGTCCTGCTGCAGAAGTGAGATCTCTGTCCCAGTGTCGGCATTCATTATTATTAATTATTAATTACGTTTTGTTCCCTGTGTTATTCTTTCCTGCTTTTTTAAAACCACACATTTTAATGAGTTTGACGGCTCAGCGTAGCAGAGCGGGATTCCCGCCTCGTTCCACCTACGGGTTTGTCTTGAAGCGTGACTTTTTTATCAAGTTCACCTAAAAGAAATGTGACGAGAATTAAAAGCACCAAGGCTGAAACAACAAACCGAGCAGAGACGTGCTTCCAAAGTAGTTTAACCTGAAGTAAAAAACAAATCAGACCTTTTCCAACCCAGCACACTCGATCACACAAACAGGAAGTACCTGAGCAAAAGAACAAGGCGGTATATACAAGAAAGTGAATTCATCTGTTTATACAAGAAAAAGCTAAGAATATAAACCAACCACACGGACTAAACCTTAGATCTTTTCACGAGGAATACATGACTGAAAACTGAAAGCAGCCTTTTCAAACCCACGAGTGCAGCCACGGGGAAGCCTGCAGGGAGACCCTCCCTAACAGATCATTTGAAGCCGGTCTCAAACTTTCTCCAGCTTTTAAGTGAAAAACTGTAATATTTATAAATTAAAATTAAGATATTGCAAAAAATCCTGCTCTGGGCGACGGTCAGCAGTCCTACCTGGTCCACGTGGATGTAGTAGTAGTGTGAGGTGTGGTAGATGGCTTTGAAGAGACGCTGGAACTGACGCGAGGCTCGGCCGTGGACGACCAGGACGAAGGCGATCCGTACAGGCGGAGAAGCATCGGAGGCGTCCTCGTCCCACTGTACGTTCACATTAGCTTTACCTGGACAGGAGGAGGTCGGTTAACATCTCGCTGATAAATCCATGAATCTCTGCCTGTGTGAAAAGTGTTCCTCCCGTCCACTTCACACTAGCAGGTGAGTTTCATGGTCTTATGAATAATAGTCCTTTTTTAGCAATTAGTAACTAACAAAATCCATCCTCCTGCTTCTCTGCTTTTTGATGCTAAGATGGTTCAATTCAGACAGGTAAGGTAAAGAGGGCTGTGTTTAACTGTCAGTCATACAACGATAGACCCCAAAAATACCAATATGGATCTGGAAATAAGCAGAACGTTTCCTTTTTAAGACATCAGCGTCACTTCTAAGCCCATTCCTCACTCCAGTTCTTCACTTCCGCCTTTCCTAGTCATGCCGTCTGCAGCTGGTCGAGCCCAATCTTGTACATACAAACGCTCTGACAGCCTAATGCCTCCTCATCATCCCGCCGGCCTTGGCTTGCTTGGCTTTAATTAGTGACCTTTTTGGGCCGTGGAGCATGCTGGGATTGGAGTTTGAGGGGGGAATGACAGTAATCAGGCGGCTGAGTCGAACGCAGAGGCAGAGATGCGTCAAATACGCCCAGGGACGTGCACAGAAACACCAAACTCCTTAAAAGACCGAACGCATGCCCGGCAATCTGAAACCAAACCCCTGCCCGGCTTCACTCTGAGGATATAACCACTGGTGTGTCATCAAAACAACCTATAATCATATAAATTAACCCTCAAACGGCCCTGAGTAAATCATTAGTCAGCCTTTCCAAAAATAAGACTACAAACTGCTTGTTTAATTAGGGTGTAATTATGCTGGATGAGCATCGTCCTCCTCTGTGTCCATTCATGCTTCAAGTCCCTGAAAATAGAGCTGGCACCCGTGAGGGATGCCTCTTTGCATCTACGGCACGTGCTCAGTTAAAAATGTTTCTGAAAGGGTAAATTTGGAAGGCAAAAATCCCTTTTCCACTTACTGCAATCTGCCACTTCAAAGCAGCCACTTGTTCATGTCCTTTCTGTCTTGAAATCTGTCGCCCATTCATTTGCTGACAAATGAATCACTATGTTAACATGAAAGGATATTTCAGACCTAAAATCATAGGTTAATACATGCAGACTACGAATAAATCTCGAGGTGCTCATACACGTGGAAATTTAGTCGCGCTGACACCCGGAGCAGACTGCAAGCGATGGATCGCAGCACCGCAGCTGTCAGCTACATCGAGGTAGAGCACATTACTGAACGTGCAATTTACAGATTATCAAAGTGATCTTTTTATATCTTCATGCCAGCTTCAGACAAAGAGGGCGGGCAGCTTTCATCTTGATGCCACCTACACATCCATCCTTCAGATGGTCAAGAAGAAACGTCCTGTGTTTTGAACCCTGAGTTTCGTATTTTTGGACATTTGCAAACGTATTAAAAACAAAGACATGCATCAACTTATCATGTTTTTCTTTATATCTTCATCATGTCACCATTTATACTCAGATGGCATAAACGGCTGTTCATAGACACCAAACAATAAACAATACTAAATACATATACTTCTTCACAAGCTACATGTTCATTATATAAACCAAAGCATGGATTACAGGCACCGTTACCGTCACCGCTTTCACAGATATGCATGACAATCCATCCCTGGTACCTTCACTGTAACTGATGTCATGTAAACAAGAAAAACATTTTATCACCTTTGCCACATTAGTTTCTTTCAGACTGAATAATATGTCTACATGCGCTACAATCATAGTAAGAGTAAGCATGTCTCCATTAATGTCGAGTAATCTCTGTAATCTGATTGTGTTAGTGTTTAGCATGTCTGATGTTTTGTGTCTTCCTGCATCTTGTCGAGTCTTCGTCTGTGTCAGTTGTTCTGTTTAGGTTACTTCCTGTTTTATTTTGACAGTAAAGTGTCTTTGATTCAGCTGTTTCCTCCCTCCTGTTTCATGTGTTTCTCTGAGCCTCTCTGCTTCTTTGTGTCCTTGTGTTTTATTCTTGGACTTTATAAACATAACAGATCGTTCAACCTCTGCTTCATCAAATCGATCTGGAGCCTGCGTTTGGGCTTTTCACCATTCATGACAGTAATGAGGATGACTATGATTCACTTTTCTATTTATTTTATTCAGAGGTCCTCAGTTCGTCTCCATCCTCATCTGTTTTAGCTTCGTTCACACAGTCACCTCCCCTTATTCTGATTGGCTCTCCCTCACAAAGAGAAGGTTTGAACAACATTGATGCAGCAGAAAATAAAACATTCCTTTAACCTAAATTTAAGGATGTTTGTGTTTTTTGTTGTTGGTTATGTGAATAATATGAAACGCGTCTGTTGTTACCTGCACACACTGAGATGTGATCTTACCTTCTGCGGGGCAGTAGCGAGGAACTTTCTCGGGCATCAGCGTCCCCTCCTTGTGTTTGCAGTACACCTCTACTATCTGCTGCCGGCACTCCCGGCTCTTGGCTCTGGAAAGAGCTGAAATGGCTTCTTTACCGCTGATCTCACACTGCAGCTGCTCCTTCCTCACCTCCAGACCAGGCGGCAGCGGAGGAGAGGCCGGCTTCTTGGTCTGGTAGAACGGCGAATCCGGATTGGACCCCTGAGCCGGCGCTGCAACCGTTGGCAGCTTGGGGTGGGCTTTACGGATGTGGGTGTGGTTGCGATTGTGGCCCGGCACTCTCGGTTGGATGGGAGGGTACTTGAGGACCTCGTTGGCAGATTTTCCCAGCATGCTTTGCGCTTGGCTCTTTTCTAGCTTACGTTTGGCATTTCCGACCGGCACTCGCTGGCTATGTGATCGGGCCCCCAGGTTGCTGTTGCTGTCGATGGTGTCAAAGTCTTTGGGGACCGAGTTCTCATTATTGTTGCTGTCCAGGCGGACTTTCTCTTTGGGGCGGTGCGAGTGGTAAACGTCCTGCAAGGAATGACAAATATAGTTCTTACATAAAGCAAAAATTAAATAAATTAAATCAAAGCAAACTCTTCTTTAACAGTTACAAAGACAGGCTGTGTATCCATTTACAATTATATGATGCATTTTTCAAGAAAATTTGCATCGTCATTTTGAATCCAAATACTAAAGTGAGGGACGTGGACCAGCTGCAAGGAAATAAATAACTTCCAGCTAAATCTGAAAGTGATGAAGCTAGAAAGGAAAGTTTGGACAGGACGGGAGCAAAGCTCAAGTCAGGAAGACATTTGGACCCTTTAGGCTCTCCCTGCTTCACATACATGTTAAATGTACGGAGCTCCACGTGTTACACCCACGTGAGCTCGTTTATCTCCTTGGAATGAATCAAAATGTTGTTCCTGCACATCACAATAAAACAGAGCAGAAGACTCGTCCACACGCCGGGGTCCACAGCGCTACAATCAGAGCCTGGTGGGCGTCTGTGTTTCAGCAGCATCGCCACATGACCTCGATGAGTATTTTAATCCCACAGATCTCCCCCATATCTGTCTTTCCCAGGATAAAGAGTACACACACGCACACACACACACACACGCACGCACGCACACACACACACTAAGCCCCAGCAGGAAGACAGTAATATCAGCTCTTGCCACCTGCTTCTCAGTCAACCTTTCATTATCTCATCTGTAATATCAGCTTAGAGGAAAGAGAGTGCGTGCGTGCGTGCGTGCGTGCGTGCGTGCGTGTTGCCGCAGTGAACATTTTCAGCTCTCCTGCCATTATTATAAGTGTGATATCCAGGAATAAAACCTCCAGAGTACAGCGAGAGATAGATTTCACACACACACGCTTCTTTTCCTTCTTCGTCATCTTTCTTGAAACATCTGACTGAGGTTTTTTCTTACCTCTGAAATATGTCGGTCTGGACCAAAGTCTCGAAATTCAACAGAAAACTGTGAAAAACGTCTAAAAACTTATTAACCTGCCGACAACAATTTACACGCAAACACAAAATAACCACAAAAAGATCTCAAAGACCCCCCCCTAAAAACCCCAAACACGATGAAAACCAAACAGCCACAAACACAAAGCCATCTCAGAGACACAAAACAACCAAAGCAACAAAACCTCAAAGAAGTGCAAAGTGACAACAACAGAAGGCCAAACGCACACAAATGATGTCAAAATGCCCACAGAGAGGAAAAACTGTTACACAAAAACAAAACAAAGGGAAATGGACAGATTCTTATATAACGCTTCCCGACTCCACCTGAGCGATTTATACAACATCCCTCCTTCACCCATTCAAGTGCTTCCTGTCCAACATTCACACTCATGCATATTCAGATGGATGCATTGGAGAGCTGCTTGGAGTTACGCATCTTACCCAAGAACATTTGGCATGCAGACTGGAGCAGCCATAACCTTACAGACAAAAACATTATCAGAAAGAAACAAAAAAATGACCAAACGAGATGCCGACACACTCGGCTCAGAAACACTAACAAAATGACTCAAACTGACTACAAACATAAAAAAGCAGAACAGCAGGTAGAAAACTGGCGTATGATGATGATGATGATGATGTTTTTCCTAACAGCTCCTTCAGTGCAAACAAGAAGTCAGAGATTTGTAAATGAAATGTTTTTTGTAATGAGGCCGATTTGATGCAGTTTCAGGAGTTTTCCAAAATGTCCTCGAGCGTTTCAGGCTGTAATTCGCTCGACACAATAATACAAGTTTGTCTCTCCTTCACAGATTCACCTCCAAAGAAAAGCAGAGCGTTTTTTCCCAGAGGGCCGTGCTTTCCATGGAGACCGGCCACAGCTAAAATACCACCGCTTACCTACAAAGACATCATTCTTTACACTCACAGAGGGACTGAGTCACTGCTTTCTTGCTCGTGGTGCTCCTGTGTGAGTCACTTTGCTCTCAGCCGCTCTCCTTCTCAGCAGGTTCCTATTGAAGCCTTCAGACCTCCTGCTGCTCCGCGATAAAGGAGACACACAAGAGACAGGAGAGGCCGTTCCCTCGGGCGCCGGGGGCGAGGCAGGGAAAGGGTGGGAGGAAAGAGACCTGTTGCTCTGACATCTGTTGATTACGAGTTCACACTAATAAGGATAATCTGAGAATGCCTGGATCTGGTGTGGTGACAAGAATGTGCGGTGGTGTTTTCTGGGAATTCTCTGAAGTGAGAGCAGAACAGCCACTTCCACATGTGTGACTATCAGCGAAAAGCTGCTGTGCTCCTCATATTTATCTACATCTTGTAAAAGATCTTGAAGTGTCGACAAAAACGGCGAGAGTGCACAGACACCTGCTCCGAGATATGCACCAGTGAGCCACAACATTAGAAACGCCTGCCTCACAATAGCCACATTTACATTTACACATTTAACTGGATTAAAAGCCTGACTGGTTATACAGGTCACCAGTGGGATTGGTCTGTTACATCCACCAACGACATCAACACAACAGGAACACGATGTAGGTCCAAAAGTCACAAATGTGAGCGAAGGTTGTGGCACACAGCAAAGGTGACCATGCAAAGATAAATGCAGGCGTTTGTTTACATCAGAACTTCTACCTTTTACTACAAAGTTAGTCAATTCTCCACAGAATGATCATGGATACTAACGGACCTACAGTTCACATCAAATGCCACCTTCACCCTTTATTATCACCCAGTAAATCACAATAAAGTCATGATTCAGTCTTATGAATGAGCCCACAGGTCTCTGTTGCTGCTTTTACAGTTCAGACCAAAGTCTGCATCCGTCCACAGAAATGGACATTTTTCATATCAAATGGTTCTTTAATGATTCCAACTACCAAATATCCAGTACATGATGTCTCTAACGTCTGCTCAAATGCCCCCCACAGGCAGGGTAGAAAGAGGCTGCTGTTTTCTTGGCAGCAGTGATTTGGTGTGTTGTGACAGACAGAGCGAGAAAACACCTTCATATAACGCGATAAAGAGCCCTTTCACATGGCTGTAGGCTGCATCTGTACACAGCTCTGGTTATGCATTAATCAAGCTCCTGTGTAGGTGTGTTTACCCTCAGTATACCTGCGGGAAAATGCCGACTGGTGGGCAGTGAAAATCTTATAGGCTGCCTTATGTTGGTCATGTTTACAAATCCATCCATGAAGCAGGAAAGGTTGGCAAAGAGCTTCCGTGGTGCCTGAGATGTTTGAACTCACAGATGGTACGTTTCATAAGGCCTGTAGATGTCTATATGGCTCACAGCGAGAGCCGTTACGCAGACGTTTCTAGTTTTTCTACTGCATCTTCATGTCTTTTGTAATTAACGCATGCTGAATTCAAGCTGTGATCATTTCACTTCTGCATGAAAGTGGAGCCTAAACACAGAAGACATACGAAATGCTTTAAAGAAAATGATGAGCTACAAGCTCATGTGAACGTCCTCGCGAGTAAAAAGAAAACATCAAAAGCTCAAAAACGTTTAGTTAATTCCCAGCTTGTGGCGAATGCGTGTTTCTCCCAGGAACAGTTGTTTGCCAGATGGCTGCAGACGGGTCCCCAGGCCATGACTGCCACATTCACATGTTTCGGGGTCACATTTCTGCAAAACCTCAACGCACCAGTCAGGACACTGACTTCCCAACTTAGGAAGTGGGATTGTAGGAGTAGCATGTTATAGCTTGGTAATGGGATTATGATATCGAGTCTCCTACACCACCGCAGTTTGTTTTTGTTAACATGTTTAATCGAGTGTAAGAGCCAACCTCATCTTTTTGCAGCGAAACGTGACAATGAAAATAATCCGATTTAAGATCATGTTCTAGTTTACTTCATACAGTTTGACCAACGTTGACACCAGACTGTCAGTTCTTCACTGTTAAACATTTGTGGGAATATTGTATGAATCACGTCTTGATGCATGTTCAATCATCCAGGTAAGTAAATCCCCAAAAGTTGATTCTGTTCATCTGGACGCGGCGCCGTCAGAGAGAAACGTTTTTCTCTGACGGCGCCGCGTCCAGATGTATGAATTAAAAATATTTTTCAGATTCGGCCAGTCTTAATACAACAGTTGGTGATTTTTCTGGGCCTGAATAAACAGATCTGAGTAATCAGACTACTATATTTGGCAATAAGTGCACTGTAGCTCAAAACACACACTGGCACTAAATACACAATAATATGGGAATAGTAAAATTATAATATTCATCATAGTTTAGTAAACTATGACACTGAGTGACAGTTTTGGGTTTTTTAATTAGGAATGCTAATTTATTATCCATACAGGATGATCATTATCTCGTCTTTAAAAAGAAACTGAGTCTGCCAAAGCAAAAAAAAAGAAGAAACAAACTGACAAAGAAGAGCATCACGTCCCAAAGGAGATAAATGGAGTAATCTGTCTAAATAGAGAGATTGAGAGACAAAGGAAAACCAGAGCCAGATGGACAGAAAGTAAGCTAAATGGACTGTGATGAGGGTTAGGATGGTGCTGTGAAACCTGGCTGAAACCACCCCGGCACCAACAGGGCGCCCCAGGATTACAGCAGGGATTTACATCCACCCATGCCAGATTTACTGAGAATTATATCAAAGAAAATACAGAAAAACATAAAGCAGCTTCATGGTTCTGACAGCAGTCTACGCTGCTAAATCACATATACTGAATTAGATCTGGACCATCGCATCAATTTACAGCTGCTCTGCTGGTTTCAGGCACTGCTACCAGACTCTGCAGGTTTCTCCTTAAAATAAATGTATATGCATCATTAACAGCATCAGAGAGACAGATCATCCCAATTAATTCTGCATCTGTAAGCACAAATATACAATCAGAGTCAAACAAATCATCTTCAATAACTAGGACAGCCCTGCAACAGAGGGTCTGCAAACCTTAGATCAAACCTGATCTCAAATCATTGTGCAAATGACCATAATCAACAAAAGTCCAACACCAGGCCCAAAAACAAAGCAGCAACGTCTACACCACAGAGTCAGGACCCAAGATTATAACATTTACTTTTGCCCAAATCACTTTGAAATCAAGTCCAAAAGTTTTGCTCTGATCTCATCATCATGGTGTTGGAAAGCCCCCACCCAACCCCCCCACCCAACCCTAAAACACAGCCCCAAATGTTTCACAATGAACCAAGTCCAGGAACAGAACCCTGATCTCAACATCATGGAACCACTGATGATCCAAAAACAGCCCCCGAGCCAACGACCCTGTGAAGACGTCCAAAAATAGAGACACGTCAGCATCAATGAGTCAGGAACCAAGACCAAAACCAGTCCACGATCAAGATTCAATATCTGTCACCAAGTCCAAAAACAGAGCCCTTATCTCAACATCGTGATGTTTAAAAAAAAACTTAAAACAACGCTAGAATATTTACGTAATGGCATCATGACCCAAACTCAAACTCAGTTTGAACCAAGTCCAGAAACAGATGTCGAGTTCTGCCTGAGCCTTAATAAGCCTCATTACACCATCAAGCATGACGGACGGCAGATAAACGTACAGAGCTCCCGTCTCACTTTGTGTCTGTTAAGAACAACTTATTGGTTTCATTCTGGGGCCATCACAGGTTTACAGCTGGTTTAAAGGATATCTGAGACTCCTGAGCGCCACACGTTCATCTTCATGACAATCAGCCGCACACATCAGAGAGGCAGACTGACAGATTGCTAATCTGAAACCTTACTGTCCTCACTCTCTTAAACTGTCCTCACTCTCCTTTTTTAAACAATGTTCGGTGCAGAGATACAAGCGAGGACACACAGACACACAAACACAGCATCTAGGGATTATTGTACAATCTAAACTAGATTAGAAAGTATAAATCCCATCAGAGAAACACGATCCAAAGAAATCCTCTAATCTGATCTGACCTGGCTGTTAGTGTGTGTATCGGCTCTGACACGCACAGCGTGGTCAGCACTGTACACGTGTGCGCACAGACGGCTTCACGGGGCTTTCTCAGGGTTCACGTTTGATTTAAGAGTTCAGGTTAGAATCAGGATTAGGCTGCGGTCAGCAACCTGGGAAAGCTTTATGTCAAAGTCCTCACGAAGACACAGCTGCAGATTTCAGAGTTTAAATACCAGCAGTGTTCAGCTTTCCAGCAACGGGTGTGTGTGTGTGTGTGTGTGTGTGTGTGTGTGTGTGTGTGTGTGTGTGTGTGTGTGTGTGTGTGTGTGTGTGCGTCCAACACACTGCAGCCTCGTTTATAACATCCAGTCAAGTGTGTTCACTACGATCCTGAAAGGTGCCACTCCCGCATTCATCACACCTTCGAGGTGGAGGACCGCACTCATACGCGACTGCTATGATTGTGTTTCACTGAAGCAGGTTTCCTCTGTTTCTGCACATGTCCAGATAGAACTGTAACCAGGGTTACGGGCAACTCGTCCCAGGTCTGATGGTTCCTAGCTATCTTCGTCTTGTTCCAACAGCCAGCGGTTAATGTTATAGAAAAGTTAAAAAGCCAGAAAACATTCACCTTTAAAAAAATAAAAATAAAAACTTTGGGGATTTGTACTGAAAAAAACGAAAAAAAACTTTGAGGTTTGATGTCCAGGAAGACCCAAAATATTTAATGAAAACATTAAACATTCATGTAGCTGCCGTCCCCTCAGTTAGAACCTGTTAAATATTTAAATATATACATCACAAGACAAAGAAAGGTAAAGATTTTGAAACTGGCTCTTGGGCACATAAAAAAAAACCTGCAAGCTTTTTGAACAGAAACAAGACTGAAACAGGACGAATGAGGCTGAACTCTCTTTTAAGAAGCTAAAGCAGCTCCTGTTTAACCTAATGGGACAAAAATTGAATAAATCATGATTGTGTTGTATTAAATAGCTCTTTAAACTACTGGTTGAGACAAGAAGGTGATCAGGAAAGTGTTTACTGAGCTCACAGATGAGGGTGAAGTAGGGTCATTTTACACAGACTTCTATACAACCCGAAATCTTTTTGAAACCAGAGTCACTGCCTCCTGCTGGCCATTGGAAAGAATGCAAGTTTAAGGCTTATCACCATTGCAGCGGTCCATTTTAATGTCAGATAATATAAATGCACCAACAACACTGAGAGTAACATCCTCCTCTGCCCCTTAATGCTCTCTGGTCACTATGGTAACGAGTAAATATTTTTTTCAAAATAAGACACACAACTACAACACAGGAAACCAAGTAAACAATAAAAACCACAAATTTCACACCGAGCCTCAACTCTGGCCTGAACCGTCGCAGCCTGGTGGTTCTGCTCCACTCTGACAGGAAGTGCAGACGATAGAAAAGTAGATAACGCTGCATGTAAACATCGAGGTTTCTGAAGGCTGCCAACTATTTAAAATAGGACATTTCTGAGTAACGAAAGAATTAAATATACTTGTTTTATTTCTGTCTATAAGCACAGAAAGGCTGACGTGTCCAAGTCTGTGACAGACAGGTCGCAGGATCCTCCCAACTCACAGAGGAACGACTTGGATCAACAGCCACATTAATACAGGCTCAGCATTACAGTCATACCTCCAGTGCGATCAGAATATGAGATAAGTCCTGTGCCTTTCCAATCACCCCACCATCACAAACCGACTCCCACAGTGCTCTTCGGTGAATCGGCGCTATCAGTGTTCTCCCGAGAAGTCCAGACTGTGGCGGTTTGGACCCCGTAAACATTCTTGTTCTCTGACACGGATAACACGTCATGTATTTTCTAGAACAACACCAACATCTACTCTTAGTTATCAAACAGCTTATAAGGAACGGGCCAACATGTTCTCACAAAGATAAACATAAAAGCTCACACTCAGTGTTTCAGGGGGAGGAGGCTGTTTTCACTGAGTTCCAGCAAGTGATATTTTATTGGAAATGGGACACTGCTTCCTGCTAACACACACACACACACACACACACACACACAC